CAACATATACTGAATGACCTTCTTTGTCTCTTTTTTAGTTCTTGATTTAAATCCTGCTTAATCTGATGTGAGCATGAATACTTCTGCTCACTTTGGTTTATATTTGCATGATAAATCTTTTTCTAATCCTTCACTTTTAGCCTATGTGTCTTGTAAAAAGCATGTAGTTGGTCTCTTGTTTTCCTCCCTCACCCCTCTGTTTCTCTCTTTTTCTTAATTCACCAGCTAATCTGTCTTCTCTGTCTCCCTCTCCCTGCTTTTTTTGATGGTACTGGTGACTAAACCCAGAGTCTTGCACATGTTGGGCAGTGCTGTATTACTGATCTGCATCCCCAGCCTGGTTTATGTCTTTTTATTGATGACTTCAATCCATCTATATTCAATGTTATTACTAAAAGGTATGAGCTTCCGCCTGTCATTTTGTTAATTGTATATCCCACTTGTTTTTTAAGTGTTATTCTTTTTCACCTCTCATTTATTTTTGTGATTTTATAGTTTTCTGTCCTGCAAAGGTTTGATTTTTTCCTTTTGTGTGTGTGTTCTCATAGTGAGTTTCTTATATTCATGTGTTTTCATGATGGTAGTTATTATCCCTTCATTCCTACTAATTATTATCCCTTCTAGTGTAGAACTTCCTCAAGTATTTCTTGTAGGGTTTCTCTTATAGTGATGAATTCTCTCAGCTTCTGCTTAACTGGGATAAACTATTTCTTCTTCAATTTTGTAGGATAATTTTGCTGAGTATAGTATTAATGTTGTCAATTTTTTCCTTTTAGTATTTTAAATGCACCATCCCATTCTATTCTTTTTGGCCATCAAGATTTCTGCTGAGATAGCTACTCTAAGTCTAATGGGTTTTCGCTCATGTGTGATGCAGTGCTTTTCTCTTGCTGTTTTAGGATTTTCTTTGTCTTGTTCTTCTTGTTCTTCTTGTTCTTCTTCTTCTTCTTCTTTTTTTTTTTGTACTGGAGATTAAACCCAGGGATGCTTAACCACTGACCCACATCCCTAGTTTTTTTTTAATATTTTATTTAGAGACAGGGTCTCACTGAATTGCTTAGGGCCTTGCTAAATTGCTGAGGCTGCCTTTGAATTCGAGATCCTCCTGCCTCAGCCTCCCAAACTACTGGGATTACAGGTGTGAGCTTCTGTGCCCAGCTGCCTTGTAGTTTTGATTATTATATTCTTTGATGAAGGTTTATTTTGGTTTAATTTAGTTGGGATCCTTTGAACTTTTTATATCTGGATGCGCATATGTCTTTGAAGACTTGAGAAGTTTGGGGGCTAGAAATTAGTTTTAAATGCCTTTTACCTTTTCTTCATCTTCTGGAATTCCCCTAATGTGAACATGTGTTCATTTAATGTATCCCATAAGTCTTGTAGGATTTTGTCATTCTTTGTAATTCTTTCTTTTCCTCCTCCTCCCCTCTCCTCCCACACCCACCCCCCACTGCTTTTTTTTATTTGAATGTGTAAATTCTAAAAACTTATTCTCAAGTTCAGAAATTTTTTGTTCTGTTTTTTTCCTAGTCTGTTATGCACATTTGTGTGAGTGTGGGAGGGTATCAGGGATTAAACCCAGGAGCACTTTATCATTGGACTACATCCACAACCCTTTTTATTTTTTGTTTTGAGACAAGGTCTTAGTAAGTTGCTGAGGCTGGTTTTGATTTGTGATCCTCCTGCCTCAGCCTCCTAAGTTGCTGGGATTATGGTGGTGTGCACCATTGTACCCAGTGTGTACATTATTATGTTTTTTTTTTTTTCATTTTATTGATTAAAATTTTAGCTCCAATACTTCCCAGTAGTTCTTTTTACTCTTTTTTGTTTAATTTTATTTTTCTGTACTGGGGATTGGATTGAGGATCACTCTACCACTGATTACATCCCCTGTCCTTTTTTACTTTTTGAGACAGGATCTCACCAAGTTTCTGAGTGGTAATGAACTTGAGATCCTCCTGTCATGTTGCTGTGTACCACCATGCCTGGCTTCTTTTCACTATTTCTATTTCTTTGCATTTTTTCTCATTCATGTCCTGAATGTTTTTCTCATTTCTTTGTGTTGTTTATTTGTATTCTTTTGCATCTCACTGAGTTTCTTTCAGATCCTTATTTTAAGTTCTTTTTCAGGCATGCCATAGACTTCTTCAAATTGAGATCCACTTCTGGAGAGTCATTGTTTTCCTTTGTGGTGTCATGCTTCATTTCCTGTTTCTCGTGTCCTTATGTTGTGTCCATGCATCTGGTGCAATGTTTGCCTCTTTCAATTTTATGAAGCAGTTTTTGTGCAAATTACTTTTATGTGAGATGGAGTTTAAGATTCAGTTGGACAGGTGCTTTGTGTTTGGTTACAGGATAACTCACAAGCATCTATGGATTCGTGTCAGCAGTGTCTCTGAAGGCTAAAGTGGTTTGTGAAGTTAGGAGTATGACTTTGTAGTGGACACAGACTTCCAAATGTATGTGTCTTCAGGTTCCACAGTGTCAAGAGCTAATGGCATTGGGGCTTGTAGTGATAGCTACCACCGTCCTGGTGGGGTGAGATGTGTAGAGGACTGTCCCCATGTCCCTCAGGGCCTGCATGAGTGATGCCAAGTGATGGCAACCAACATTCCCCCAGCCAGAGGGTATGAAGGAAACTTTCTCTTGGAGTCTTATGATGAAGTGGGAGATGCCTGGCCATGGGATTCCAGAAGCCACAGCATGAAGCTTCCCCAGGTTTCTTGAGATGAGCACTGGTGATGCTGGGGTCAGTCCCCTTTATGTTCCCTTCCCTGTGTTCCATGGGGTTACTTACTGCAGTTGAAACTTCTAGCACTGTTACACACATTCCTGGAATTATGGGACCCAGGTGATATTTATGCCATGGTCCCAGAGGCCAATCCTTAGTTCCCATGGGAAAAGTGTGGATAGAAATCATGCCTGAGGTATGGCAGCCACTGGTCCTGAGGCTGCAGGATGCTGAGGATGTTGCCCTTTGCCCAGTGGGATGGATATTGGCCCATAGCTTCTGACGGGTTCAGGTAACTGGCCGCAAGACCCTTAAAGCAAGATAGCATCAGCAGTGGCTATTGTAGTAATTTGAGTTCTAGGGGTTGGGGAAAGCTCAAAGTAGGTTCCTTCTTTGGAACAGGATAGTTAACTTTATTTTTCAGCACTGGGGATTGAACCCAGGGACAGTTTGCCGCTGAGCTGCATCCCCACGCTCTTCACCCCATCCCTTTATTATTTTTATATTGAGACAGGGTCTTGCTAAGTTGCTAGGCTGGCCTTGAACTTGGGATCCTACTGCTGAGTAGCTGGGATTTCAGGTGTGCACCATCACATTCAGCCCCAGAGAAGTTTACTTTAGACCAGGGAGCTCTCCAAATTGGATTTAAAGCTTATAAGGATGGTGGAATTCTCCTGCAGTCAGGACTGCTGGTCTGATGCTGTGATCTGGTTGCTGACACTTTCCTGAAACCCCATAGTGTTCGTTCCCTGCACCCGGGTGGGAGTTGGTATTGAAATTGCAAATAGCTTTGTTTTATTTTTCCTCTAGTTGGTCTTCTCGCTCTCTCCGCTGTTAAGGGTTTCCGTCAGTTTTATGCTAATTTCCAGAGTTCTCCCTCACTCTCCTGGAAATAGTTTTTCCTTTATAATTTACCAGTTTGAAGTGAAAGTTGTATATAAGATCATTTTGTTCCTCGTCTATTTGCCCTTTTCCTACTTGGCAAACTTTGACTTTCTGTTTAAGGATCTTTCTGTAACCCTTGTCTACTTTTAGCCCAGGGTCACCACCTTGCTGGGTAAAAGCCCTTAGGGACAATTGTGCCACTGGCCTTTTCTCCCTGCACCTGTTCAATATAGATGACACATTTCTTCCTGTAAACCTGGACCACTTTGCCAATTTGCTGACCTTTCCAGTGTCCTCACACAACCCCAAATTCATCACCCTTTCTGTTGGGTACTTTTGTCTTGGCTCTGTGGAAAGAGGGGAAGACATGATCCTCTCGTGGGTGAGAGAAGGAGTTTAAGAATGCCTTTCATGGCTTTTGCTTCTGTCAGAAGTCACAAAGGGATTGAACTTCATGTTGGCCACTGCAATGCAGCAAAAGGGAAGAGATCCACCTGCCCTCCATGTGCTAAGCCAAAGTACAAACCCTCCTTCTCCTCCATCTGCCATATATTGTGTCTCTTTCACGCATGGAAGCACCCATGTTCTTGGACCTGTTCCTTAAAGCAAAAAGAGGAAAAACCCACATGCTTTCTTCATTCACTTTTGCTAAAAATATTGAGCCCTTCCTGTGTACTGAGTGCTGATCCAGCCCTGAGGTAAGCAGTGCACAGGGGGCACCGGGGCCACCTCTGGAGTGTGCACTCTAGACTGAGGGGCAGGCCATGAGCAAATAAAGGAATGAGCTAGAAAAATAACTGTATGGAAATTTACTCTCTAGAGAAGTGGCGTTAAGCTGTGATCACCTGAGTGGGGCGCTTCTGTAGGCAGAGTGCACCGGGAATACCTCCCCAAGGAGGTGACAGTGCGTCAGTGAGATGCAACAGCTGGGGGACATGGTGCCAGAGCATGTGCCTGATGTGTTTAAGGCACAGAGAGAAGGCTGCGCGGGGGGAGGGGGAGGTCTGCACTGGCCAGGGGCCAGGGGCCAGATCCATGAGGCCTCCTCTCCTGGGTGAGTGTAGGACAGGTGTAGCACTTGAAGGCTTTTAAGCAAGGAGGTGATGTGGAAATGTCCCCCTGACCTAGTTAAAAGGCCCACAGTTTCACACAGTGGCTTTGTTCTGAGAGTCTCATAGTGAACGCAAGAAGGTGGCTGGAGCGTGTGTGAGGTGGCCTCAGGAGAGGCTGCTGGATGCCTTTCTGGGTGACCTGCCTTCTTTATCACCAGGAAATCAACGAAGCTTGTTGTCACCTGTCTGCTCTCAGCCGCCATCTGTGTTAGAGGAGGAAATTCACACCTCCCCGAGGCTCTACGTCACTCATGACCATTTTTCTTTTTCAGAAAAATAAATCTGAAAAACCCAGTGCTGCAGCAGGTGCTGGAGAGGAGGAATGAGGTCCTGTGTGTCCTGATACAGAAGATCGTGACGACACAGAAGTGTGTGATATCTGAGCACGTTCAGATCGAGGAGAAGTGCGGTGGCATGGTGGGGATCCAGACCAAGACGGTGCAGGTGTGTAAGGCCAGGGGCTGAAGAGACCGAGGCCTGGGCAGCCGGTTTGGTCCTAGCCATGGAGACCATGGTCAGGGGCCTCTTTGGGTAGAGACTTCGTTAGTAAGTTGACAGAAATACAACTCAAGTGAACGAGAGTTTCTTGGCCTGTGTAGTTGCCATATTTGTGGCGATCCAGCTTCAGTCACTGCTGGATCCAGGACTTGAGGTTATTGTGCACTTTTGTGCCACAGTCGGTTAGCCACTGACTTGGGAATATGTGTTAAACATCATGATGCTGACAAGGATTAGATCCGTATCCATGTCAGCCCTATTCCCATTCCTACTAAGTTCCATGGATCTTGTCTTAGCACCCCTTGTAGAAGAGGATGCACACAGTGGGGAGGCAGAAAGGAGTCAGGGAGTGTCAGAGTATGTGCTCTTGCCTACAGGTGTCAGCAATGGAGGATGGGAATGTCACCAAGGACACCAACGTTGTGCTGGAGATCCCAGCTGCCACCACCATTGCATATGGAATCATTGAACTGTATGTGGAGCTGGATGGCCGCTTTGGTGAGTGCTGCCTCCGAAGGATGCTGTGTGTCCACCCCCACTCCCCACCCCCCTATGTTCCTTTGGGGTACATTCTTGTAGAGGATCCCCTTCTGCTTTGGGCATCAATAGCGAGAGAGGGAAGAGATAGCAGAGGAGTTTGGGAGTGTCCCATATCTGGGTCCTGGTGAAGTGGGCAGCACTGTGTGGGGGCTTGGTGAGGGAGGCCCAGAGCAGTGCCACCTCTTCCGCCAAATGTCAGCATGGGGCCAGGTCCCACCAGCAGGGCAGAGGGATAGGAACGTTGGCTCCGCAGGCAGACGGGGTGTTGACCTGACACCATGACCTCTGGTGAGGTCTCTGGCCGGCTGTGCATCCCACTGAGATGCAGCTTACCCAACCCTATAAAGGGAAAGGGTTCTCTCTTGGGCTTCGGTGAAGATTAAATTCTAGTGTGCCTGGGTCACCTGTTAACTTCCACCTTGGCTGTTAATATCATCCTCATTGTTTCCGTTCCACCTTCCCTGCCCCAGTATAAAGCCAGAAAGACTAAACTTGACCTTCCTCTGCTGATCATAAGTGTGTCATTGTTATTGACTAAACTTGACCTTCCTCTGCTGATCACAAGTGTGTCATTGTTATTGTTCAAAGAAAATAAGGTTTTAGTTTTAGTAATGTCTGCTTATCTTAGATGCTCATGGTCCTTCCCTTTTGGTCCCAAGGAGAGCTCATGTTGTAACCTCTTACAGCTTCTTGGGGACATGAATAAGCAAATGGTTAACACATTGTTAACTTTTTTTAGGTCTGGTGATGATGTTAGGGGTACGTTTGTAAAAACTTTTTAAATTATCCTGAAATTTCACAGATGCAATGGTAAAATGTCTGTGATTTGCTTCCAGAATGACATGAGGGGAGCACAGGGTGGGAGCCTGTGTGGCAGGTGGAGGGGACAAGAGTGGCCAGGAGTGACAGTGCTCATGTGGTGTTTATCTTTCTGTGTCTGACTTACTAACTCGGCATAATGTCCTTCAGGCTCATCTACCCTGCCTCACATGACAGGACTTCATTCTTTCTAATGGCTGAGCAGTATTCCATTACGTAGTTGTACCACATTTTCTTCACCCATTCTTCTGTTACTGGGCATTGAAGTTGATTCCAGGTGTTGGCTAACAAAGCACCATTATTCACTGTTGTTACCATTCTGTGTGTTCGATTTCCAGAACTTATCTGTAACTAAACTGGACACCCTTCCACCACTCTCTTTCCATTTCTTCTACCTCCAAGCCCTTAACAACCACTGTTCTATTCTCTGCTGCAGTGAGTTTGATTATTTTAGATTCTACATATGAGTGTGATCATACAGTGTTTGTCTTTATATCTGGTATATAATGCTCTCCAGATTCATCCATGTTGTCATAAATGACAGGATTTTATTTTCTCTTATGGCTGAATACTATTCTACTGTGTAATCTATACCACATGTTCTTTACCCATTTAATTCATCAATAGACATATTATTTCCATACCTTGATGATTATGAACAATGAGCCATTTTTGTAAGGCCTTTTGAAATTTTGGCTCATGCTAGAAGATGTCCATAAGCATGCTGGGGACTTAGGTACACAAGCACCTTCCTGGTGCCTGCCGATCCAGTGTTTGCAGCACTTTGGGGAGTCCTGTTGCTCCTAGGGGAGCTTCTTTCTTCTTGGACTCTGTGTGTGTGTGTGTGTGTGTGTGCAGCCGTGTCTGGTCTGGCTCTTGTTTACATTTCAGTTTCAAGCTTTGTCTCTTTGCTGGCTTCCACTGTCTTTTAAAATAAACTCCTCTTTGTACTGCTGGGAAGAGGTACCCTGGGGACACCTCAGGCCCTTCCTTTGGCTCCTTTCCCACACCTGGCCTGGGCGGGAGCTCCAGGGACCTTTTCCCTCTGCCTTTGGTGATCCTACTGATGTGATGTTCTGGTAATTCACTGCCTGACTGGGAACAGGTTCTGCTTCTCTCTCTCTCTCTCTCTCTCTGTCTCTACCCCCCCAACCCATGTTTCTGTCACCCTTGCCACAGAATGTTCTGACTCAGCCTTATCAACCTGAGGGCCCTTAAGAAGTGTCTCTCACCTCTCTTCCTCTGGTGAGATGACATTGGGCTGGGACTCTGCTTGTCCTTTAAGACAGTGAGAAGTCTGACTCCTGTCCCAGCCACACCACCTGCACTGCCACTGTTTCCTAACTGGCTTCTCTGAATCTAGCTCCATCTGTTCCATCCTAGCAGTACCACTAATGGGATTATTTTAACATAAAAATCGGATCACTTCACTCACCTGCTCAAACACCTCTGTGGCTCCCTGTGTCCCACACATGAAGTTGGCCACAGCCTGTGTTCCCAGCTTTCGCTCTCATCACCAGCACCACCTGTCTAGTGATGTCCCCCAGTGTAAGTCCACCATCTAGTGATGTCCCCCAGTGTTAGTCCACCGTCTAATGATGTCCCCCAGTGTTAATCCACCGTCTAGTGATATCCCCCAGTGTTAGTCCACATCCTGGAACCCACTCCCCAGCCTGTGCTGGCTGCCCCTCCCATCTGGGGCCTGGGGCATGCCTCCACTCCTTGCCCACCGAGCTCCTTCTGAGCCGATCTGTGGATGTTTAGGCATGGCTTCACCTAGGAGGCTTTTCCTGGTTCTTTTTCACTGTGATGGGGCTTAACATACAAGACCCCGAAATATCTTGAAAGAGTCTGAAGAAATGTCAGAAGCAAGAACGTCACTGTGGCCTCGGTGCCCATCTCCTGGGAAGCCCCAGATAAAGCGAGGAAGGATCTCTCCTGGAGCAGGGAGAGGCAGCCACCCAGAAAGAGGGTCCGAAGCTGCCCTCGGCTTCCTTGTCCTGTCCTGCTTCTCCATGACTCTCCCTCTGCATCACAGGAACACAAAACCACTCAGGTGTAACTTTCTTTGGGTTCTTCATCTCCTCATGGAGGCTCTGTGTCATGTAAAATTCATAGCAAGTGAATTCATGGCTTGACTCTTGTTGATCTGTCTTTTTCTTATATAACCTAAGATGTTTGTGAGGTTCTTAGCCACGAACCTAAGATGTTTGTTTCCAGGCCCAGCCACATGTTCACACCATGGCCTCTAAGCACCCCAATTACAAAATAGAAGCATAGAGGGAACCCAGATTCTTGAGTGCGTGCACTGATTTTGCTTAGCAAAAACATAACACAATACCTGCTATTTTTACCCACAGCTTAGATGCTTTAGCTGAGTTCTCAATATGGAAGTGTTTCTGGAAACAGTTCTTTTATTATTAAAGCAAACCTTCCTATTACAGAAATTTCACTTATGTTCCAAAGTAGAGCTAATAACCAGGACAATTCATGTTTTTCCCCAAAACTTTACCACCTCCCTGCTTTTCCACTGGATTGATTTGAAGCAAATTGGAGACATTTTACTGTTTCATCTATAAATATTCCAGTACCTTTAAGCAATAAGTCTTTTAAAAAAAGACTTGTATAGATTCATATAGAACATGTCCTTTTATGTCAGTAGTTTCTTTTTTCATGCCAGAGATCCTTCCCTTCATTAATAAAGAGAAGTTGGGACTCCTTTAAGACATAGCCATATAATTACTCATGCACCTAAATGTACTCATAATAATTCTTTAATATTATGAGTATTCGAATTTCTCCAGTTGTTTCATACATGGTGGCTTGCATTTGTTCAGAGGTTGTTCAAATCAAGATAAGGAAGCATTCCTGTGGAAGCTTGCCTCCTGCCTTTTGGAGACTCCACTCTGGAAGGCTTTGTGAGGAACAGCCATTGCTCCTGTGTTTGAAGGGAGTGCTGAGTTTTGGGTCTAGCAGCATAAGGTGTATAAGGTGGGTTTTGTGGGGAAGGTGGATGTGTTTTCTGCCCCAGCCTGAGTTGGGTCAAGGCAGATCTAAGATGTGCTACAGCTGGGCTGACCCGCTCTCTGGCTTGTCCTTTTCTCCTGCACTGTAGAGTTTTGCCTCCTCCAAGGGAAGCACGGTGGCTTCGAGCATGAGAGGAGAATTGACTCCATCTACCTGGACCCCATGGCTTTTCGAGAGTTTGCATTCGCGGACATGCCAGATGCTGGGCATGGGAAGTCTTCCCAGGATGGGCCGTTAAGTGTTTTAAAACAAGGTATTCATGGTCGGGTGGGTATTGCCTTGTGGCTAGTTGATGGCTAAGCAAATCCTGTACCCCGGGGTATAGGATGTGGCCTTGTAATGTGTCCTTGAGGATCAGTGACTCCTCACTGACTCACAAAAAATCTTTAAAAAGGGAGCAGCTTTGCCTCTGAATCCTCTGAACCCCACTTGGTTAGGTCTTAGGGAAGGCCAGATGTTGGGCGCCATGTATTGAAGAAATTATGGGAAGAATGACCCTCGGTGGGTAGGGGTAGGAGGAGATTGAGGACTGGAGAAGTCGGGGGCCTGGCATTTTTCTTTCATTGTAACGATGGAAGACTGCTGACTACTAAGAACAGCTAGAAAAACCCAGGTTTTTCATCTGTTTCATTATATTTCAGGCTTCATCGCCAAGACAAGCAGCACTTTGTCAGCACCGCACAGTGCTGTCTCAGAGGCTCTTTCTCTTCATGGCCAGAGCTACATGATGCCAGTGGGAAAGGGGCAGGACTTGGGAGGTGCCTGCAGCAGTTCCTTTTTCTCTTCACCATGTTGTGTTTTAAAAAGCTGGTTTCTTTTTTGTTGCAGTAGAAGGAGGAGATGGGCAAGGAAAAGGAGAAACAAGTGGTTAGGTAAGAGCTGTGGCAAAAGCAAGGAATGGCTCAGAATATACTCTGACTTGATAGATAAGAAGAGAGACTCAACAGGCTTTGCTGTGTCCTGTTGATTCTGCCACAGAATGTCAGTGTTGGAAGAATGCCATTATGGGCCAAATCCTGTAGGTCTTTCCCGTCTAGGTAGGTGATGAGTGGGAGTTTTGACTATTAGAGAATGTTGTGGGTTAGCAGCACAGCAGCAGCTGCACTGCATGGAAGTGAAAGGCAGTCCAGGGCTGGGCTTCCCCTGCTTCCTTTTCCCCAAGCCCACCTTTGAGTTGGCCATTCTAGTCAGCTGGGGGGCAGTGGGCAGCGGTGCATGTTGGGCAGGAGTGGGGTAGGGGCCCGCCTGGTCTTTGTGTCTCAGATCCTAATGAGGACAATCAGTGTTTCTCTTCAGGCTGGGGCTGGCAAAGGCCTAATTGTATTCACAGGAAGGTTTTTGAATGTCAGTTACTAGTTCTGTGTCTGTGGAGCTGCTACCATTTTTTGCTGGAATTTATCAACAGAGGTGTTGCATTTATGTATTAGTATCAGCCCTATGCATGAATGCATTGTTTTATGAAATCTTTTTTTTTCCTTAAAAATCTCTGTTGGGCTTAATTTATTAGAAGCTTTTGACAACCTTAAAGAGGATTATAAGGGGAAGGGCTCCCAAGCATCCTGCAGAGGATGTGAGTAACTCATCTTCAGTACACAGGGAGGAGGAAAGGAGGGAGACCATGGCATAGCTGTTTGCTGTGAACATAGGGTGCCAGCCTCTTTGAAAATCATGCATTAAATATGAAAGGATACAAAATATGCAATGTAAAGAAAGGACATAAAAAGAATGTATTTTAGAAATTGTATGGCTCTGAAGTATTGTAAAAGCACTGACTTATGTTTAGTCTTTCAGCCTTGAGAATTGGTGCTACAGAAATCATGCTAACGGGAAGTCTGACTTCCAGAAAATAATTGATTAGACTTAAGCTGACGCCTGAAATACAAAACTGGGCCTCCTTTCTTTCTTTTCTTTCCCTCTCTCCCTTCCTGTTAAGAGTTTGCTTAGTGATTGAAAGACATGGAGTGGTGTTTAACTCAGTGTTCTTTATTTCTGAGTTCCATGACTGACTGCAGCTGGAAATGGCTATGGAAGAATGGGTACCAATTAGCAGTAAGCAGCAGGCCTCGCCATGCTGTGCGGAGCTGTGCACAGCAGTCTGACTCCGGGTCTGCTCTGTTTTCACAGCATCTCTGCTCCTGGCGAGGAACTTCCGCCCCTTTGTGGAACTGCCAGAGCAGCAACAGAAAGCTTTGCACAGCCTCCTCCTGGTGGTCTTGTTTGATGAGGAACTCCTTATGGTCCTGGAGCAAGTGGTGAGACTGGACATCTCAAGGCAGGGTTTTATCTGTCTGTTCTGGAAATGTGCATGGGCTAGACTTGTTAGGCATTCTATCTTGAGATAGAATGAAATTGTGGTACGTTTCCCCACCTCCTTTTCAGCCTCCTAAACCTTATCTATTTGCTTTCTTAGTTTTATTAATAAGTCTTGAATATTTTAAAGGCAGACAGGCAGCTGATACCAGGCAGAGAGGGATGTATGATTTTTTTAGGGCTGCCATGACAACTGACCAAATTTAGGGCTTAAAAAAAACAGAAATTTATTCTTTTACAGTCTGGAGGCCACAAGTCAGAAATCAAGGGGTTGGGAGGGTCCCCTGGAAGGTCCAGGGGAGAATCCTTCCTTGTTTCCTATAGCTTCTGGTGGCTCCTAGCATTTTTTGGTTGGTGACCACATTGTTTCAGTTTGTGAATGAGCACCTTCACCATGAGTTGAGCACCTTCAGCATAAGCTGTCCACCCTTCAAATGCCTAGACCTTTTGCACTTAAAAAGGTTGAAGCTAGGCTGGGGATGTGGTTCAATGGTGGAGTGTTTGCCTGGCACGTGTGCCCCGGACTTGATTCCCCAGCACAACACATACACACACACACACACACACACACAGAGCTGTGGCTTTAGAAATCTTTTTATTGTAGTGTCATTTTTATTTTTTTGTCTTTTTTTTTTCTCTTTCTGCAGGGAGTTGGAATTAACTGACTGAATGCTTTATGGTTCCAGCAAAGCATTCATGGTATTTTTCCTTCTTGAAATTAGATTGTGCTGAAAGAGTTTAGTTACCAATGAAATTTCTCAACCTCCCCGCAGGCACACCTTTGCATTCTGGAGGGTGCAGAGCTTAGCCCTGGGGAGAACACAAATGTTTTTAAAAGCCTGTTGCTTTTTACTTCTTAAAATAGCTTCTTTCAAGAGGAAAATGTCAGGCTGGCCCCCTGTGGACAGAGGATCAGCTGCCTTCAGATGCTGGAGAAGCCAGCCTGTGTAGGGGCAGCTCCTGCATAACTGAGTCTGGACTTGGAGGCTGAGGGTGGAGAATGAGCTGGGTGGTCAGAATTGGTTTGCCTTACAGGGCCACCCTACCCCTGCCAGCTGCTGGGGCTGGCTGGAAACATACCAGGCTGAGAGGGCTACCTTTTTCAGAGTTTGAATTACCAGAGGGAATGGTGCTTTTATGTTTCTCTTATCTGTTTTGTTTGTAATGACTTGTTTTTGGTCTCTGCTCTGAATCAACAAATCCTGTCCTGATCTAGAAGTTTTTACCCAATAGTTCTCACATGTCTCCTGTAAAAGGATAGTAAATGGGTAAGGTTCAGCTTACTCCCTCTTTGAGGAATAACACTATGGATGGGTAACTTCAAAATGTGGAAAGGGCTCAGCACCTTGCTTTACTGGGGAGAAGGTAGAGGGCATGCAGCATGTGCGTGAACCCCTGTGAGGGCACCCTCGCTCGGCCATGGCTTCACAGCATCCTCTTTTCTTCTACCCTTGCCCTGCAGTGTGATGACATGGCTGGTGGTGTCTGCTCCCTGCAGGCAGCACAGGCAATGGCGGAGCTGAAGCCCCTTCAGCAGCAGGACCTCACAGCCTTCCTGCGGCTGGTGGGGTGCAGGATACAGGGCGAGCGTCCTGGCCCTGAGGATAAGGTCAGCAATCAGAAGCTCTTTGCCACAGCCTACTTCTTGGTCAGTGCACTGGCAGGTATGGAAATGGACAAAACAAAGTAAGAGAAATGGCTGCTTTGAAACTGTGTTGCTTACTGTACATGCTTCAGGGCACATGGAATGGTGACTGGAAGGTTTGGTACAGACAGATCCCTCTTCTCCAGTACAGGGCGGGTAGGAAGTGGAAGGTGGGTAGAGAGGCTTGGCCAGCATGAGGCTGGCCTTTCTGTCCACCTGGAGCCTCTTCTACTCTTGGAAGGCTTCTCTTCCCTCCCTGAGCCAGGACTTTCCTCGGACTCTGGAAATCATCTTCCATAATACCACCTGTGACAGGAACCAGAGTGGGAGTGCTGTGGTGCAGACACTTTCATTTGGCACCTGCTCCTCCCCTTTCCCTTGGCAAACTTAATTGCTGCTCCATGACAGTTCCAGGCTGCAGAAATTCTGTGTCCCTGTGCACCAGGCTAGGGGCAGGGCTTGTTGGGAGTAGTAGCCCCTGCCTGCCCCACCTCTTTGCCTCTGCCATCAAATCTCACCAGGCCAGGAGCCTGCGGTCACCCTTTGTGAAGAAGCTGGGTTTTCAGTTCCCTCTTTGGCAAGACAGGACTAACCAGCACTACTGATTTTAGTTCAAGAGCTGCTAGTTAGAGCACTGATGCATTCAGGGTTCCTCCCCAACACTGCACAAAAATGGAGGCCCAGGAATCTTAAGTTTACAAAAGCAATTATCAGAGAGGATGTCTCCCAGCTCTATATGCTGATGAATGTATGCTCTATGTCTTATTGAGAGTATGGATAAAAGTTTTAATTGGTTGACTAAGACAGGACAAGACAGAGAGCCCTGTGGATCTCCACTAGAGACTTTAGTTCAATATTAACACTATTGTATTAGAATCTTTGATTACAGACATTCTATCAGGACCTGATCCACAGGCCAGAGTTCTTCAGCTTGTGAGAGGCCTTTTCATCACATACCCTGTTACTTCTTGAAACATCTATTTATAGGCTGCCAAATATGTAGCAGGTGTATTTATAGTGATGTCAAATATGTAGCACATGGCTGACAGGGAGAATGTACCAGTTCCCCTTTTTTTCCTGATCCTAGACCTTCTCTGCAGCATGAGATACTTGCTGTTTTTGAGCTGGAAGCTCAGAGACAGTGAAATCTTTCAGTGCAGCCAGTTTCTAAACCAGTGCTTCCCTGCTGCCCTTTTCCATCTCTCTGGACTGGGATCTCACTTCCTGGCCTGTCACAGCAGAGGGCAGGCTAGTTTAAAGCTCTTTTGCAAACCCCGGGTCCTTCTGAGTTGACCTTCTTTTCTAGACAACACAGTCTTCTAAGAATAGGGATGCTGCTGGAGCAGAAAATGGGCTCCTCTTTGAGTCCTAAAACCTATTTTTGCTTTTTAGTACCCTTAGCTTTTATCAGTACTTCAGTCCCACAATCTGACCTTTCTCCTGGAAAGCTTCCTCCATACGTGTGACCATAAGCAAGTCACATGCTCTGGACTCTTCAGACCTCATTTGTAAAACTGAATTGGTACATGAAAGAGCAGTCAACATAATTCACTCAAGTTCAAGACACACTGGGGGAGCTTATATTACATTTTAGGCACCCCCAGGTGTGGAGGAAGGGGAACATATCTAGTACAGGACATCATAGTTGAGTGGCAGCAGAAAGCTCTATAATGCAGGTGCTGTTCTCTCATTCTGTGCCCTGGCACCTAATCCATATTATTCTGAGTAATATGGTACAAAAATGTTTCCAAGAATAAGGGGTGAAGATAATGATTACATGGTGCTCAGGCACCACCTGGAAATTAAAGGAAACATGGTCAGATGACATGGCTATGACAGGGGCTCAGCTGCTGTGATCTTTCTACTACGCTGTATGTGTGTTCCATCTTCATCTTCTTGGTTTGGAGCAAGAGATTCCATGAGAATGTGGGGGAAGTTGTCCATTTAGAACCATCCATTCAATCAACAATGACAGAGTATCACTCACCCCTGCATGGCTGGTGGGAAAGTACACCAGTACCACCCAGGGACTGGCTGTTTCCATGAATGAATTTTTGACAGTGACTTTTTTTTTTTTTCCTTCCTCCTTTAGAAATGCCAGATAATGCTGTATCTCTACTGGGCACTTGCTGGAACCTGAAGATTATTCCTGCACTGTGCTACTTGGTAAGGAACTTCCCAGATTGGATCTTAGGATGGATGGGAATGGGGAACTAAAGTTGGGGTAGACTCCTAGCAACTGATAAACACATATAGCTCTCAGGCTAGTTTAAGCAGGTACTGTCAGTAAACTCAATTTTATATATAATGTACATGCCCATCTCATGGGAAAACATTGCCCCTGCCATTTCTTAAACTGGTATGTCATTTGGTCATAGAAACTGTCATCATTTTAATTGTAGGTAATGATTAGCAAAATAGCAGCTGTGTTCTTTTGCAGCAACTGTGAGCTCTGCACTTACCAAGTTAGCTTTCCCCAAGAATTCAGACTAATTAATTACATTCAGGAAGTATATACAAAAGAAAATCCTGTGACTAATTCTTCCCCCAACAAACTCATACTTCATAGTCCCCTTCCTTGTGCATTAGTTCCAGATTTTTATCTTTGTGTTGCCCCCATGTACTAGGAGAGGCTGGTAGAGCACACTTAAGAGTTGCACAATGAATGGCATTCTGTTTAACATTGTTTGCCCTTTGAAGGTTGCTCAACAAAGACATACACAAAAAGTCTTTTTTTTGAAAGAGACCTTCCTATGTCTTCACACAATCTCTCTATAGCTAGGCCTCTGCCTTCTGAAGGAGTATCTTAAAGGGATTAAGAATAGGGTACATGGGCTGAGGTTGTGGCTCAATGGTAGAGTGCTTGCCTAGCATGCATGAGGCACTAGGTTTGATCCTCAGCACCACATAAATGTAAAATAAAGATATTGTGTCCACCTAAAACTTATATATGTGTGTGTGTGTGTGTGTATATACACACACACATACATATATATATATATATTTTAAAGAATAGGGTACAAAGTCTACCTGCATCTGCCTTTTTTCTGTCTGATGGGTTTTGGAAGAACATTATCAGGTACATTAACACATTTGCCAAAAGTTAGAATCAGTAGAGAATGTTAACTTTGCCCCTTTGGTCAGTTATAGTCTTTTTTATTCCCCAAAGTGCCTATGGGTAAAAGGGGTTGGCAGGTGGTTAGAGAAGGCAGCTGGATGCTGCTCAGCAGTCCCTGGCAAGCACAGTGTAGCTCATGCTGAAATTACTGAGATGTGGTACTCATGCTTAAAAGAGCAGGACTAATCCCCTCTCTAAAGTTCAATCCATAGTTTACCATCTGGGCCAAACAGTTTTATTAACCAGTGGTTACACTGTGCTGCAAGCTCTGTTTGGTGAATTTACAAAGGTGTAGATTCATGAGGCTGATTTTGATGATCAACACAACAAGTGTTTGTACATTTCAATGCATGTCATTCAGTTACCTGGATAAGCTGCATATTACTTTTCATTACTGAAAATGTTGCTCTGAACATTTCTGGAATTTCTTTTGGATTTCCTTCAGAAACAGTTAAAAATTTATGCATACTTTATAGACCTGCTTCATTACAAAAAAATTTATCCTCTTTAAAAAAAAAAAAGCATTACAGGCATAGATCAAGACCCTAAGAGTGGCATAGATCAAGACCCTAAAAGCAAGTTAAATATTTCAAATGTTTTGGGAATTAGAGCGATTTCCAAAGTAGCCTCTGAAGAACTTACGTTACTTCAATATTCTGTGTTGGTGTTCTAGGCAGCGTAAATGATCTCTGCTTTCACAGGCAGCTTAGAGTTTAGAAAGAGGAAAGGGCAAACAGTTCCTATCAAGGAGCTGTTTCATGTAGTAAATTTGGGGAGACAATGGAGTAACTTAATAGTGGTGGGAATGTGTGGTGGGCCTAAGGAGGGGATTAGGAAAGAGGCCTTGGAGATGGCTTTGCAGCTGACAATAGAGGGATGCAAAGGGAAGGGTGATGTGAAAATTTGGAGAGAAAGTCTTACCAGTTTAAGAAATAGCAGGGGCAATGTTTCTTGAGGTAGGAAGCATAGTTGAACAAATGATGGTACCTACCTCTGAGAACGCCTGCAAATACATAAGAAATTGACATTTTCATTTAAAACAAAACAAACAACCCCCGCCCCCTCCCGAAAATCAGAAGATAAACAATGGTACTCTGCATGCAACTGCCACAGAGAAGAGTCAGGGCAGCAAAGGAAAAAATATATTTCCAGAAGAGTAACTGAGGGAGAACTCTGGAAATTAGCAATGAAGTGACAGGAACCCTAAAAAGCATAGAGAGTCAGAAAGACAGCCTTGAGAAAAAAAGAGCAAAGCAATTCATAACTTCAACCCTGGTTCCTGGACAGGGTCCAGGAACACAACTGGGAAAGGGTAAGCGGGCAAGTGTAGAAGAACTTCACAGTACTTACAAGATTTAAATTGCTCCAAAGAGCCTCCCCAGTGCGACTAGAACTCTACAGTGATCACTGTTACATGCCATCTTGGCATAAGGGCCAGCAGTTGCCTAGTCTAGTAGTCCTTCCATGGGCAAAAAACATCCCCATTAGCATGCTGCAGCTTTAGAACAAGCCATGGCCATAAGCTCCATGTTTGTCTGTGGAAGGTTTCCTCACCAGCTCACAGCCTTGGGAAGGTAGCCCCTGTTATAAACTCCAGGCTTCACCTGTACCTGTCCATCAGGTGATGGGAAAGTACCCACTGAGGAACCCAGTTACCAGGAGCTCCAAACCCACCCTCTTTGAGAACTAGAGATGCTCTCTTCCCAGCCCAAGGCCTTGGTACTATATAATTGCTGGTGCAAAAAGCCTCAAAACCACTCAATATTATCCGAGAACTGGAGGAAGGCCCCTTTCATATTCTCCAGGACCACCAATGCCGTAAGCCTTGGCCCCACCAGCACTTGCCCTGTGTGACGTAGGGACATTCCCATCCATGTCTGCATCCAGGAATGCAGATATCAAAGCCTCAGCGCACCAATTGTGCTCAATCTATGGGACCTAGATAAGATCTCTCCCATGTGCTACATCTCCAGGAACACTGATACCAGTACTGCAAGTGCAAATGTGATCTGTACATGCTCTCTATAGATAAGTAACAATGGAGGGAACATCTCCTATATTGCCTGTGGACTTTGGACCAGAGCTGCCAAAAGTCACAAAACCACAGCTTCAGGAAAAGTGGGTAACAGTGGTGACAAGTCCCAGCACCAGATGTAATTGCCTATAGGGCATCGAGAAAGTTCCCTCTATGTTCCAAGATCTTGCTTGAGCCCATGATTACCACTGCCAAAGGCCCCAGCATCACCAGTGCTGCTGGTGCCATGTGACCAGGCATCACCCACATTCCGTCCTGAGAGTTCTGTGGATGGTGTCCTGTTAATCTTCTGTCTCGGAACTGTGGCCACTGGTGCCAAACTACTTGGCATAATCTATGCTGGCTCTGAGGGACCTTGGAGGAGTTTTGTCCACATCTTACACCACCAAGACTGTGGAAACTGCAACCAGCCACCACAAGCCCCAGCTCCATCAGATCTTGACTGTGGAGCCTGAAAACACACACCTGTGGAAGCTTGTGTATACTGCAAAGAACTGCTTTAGTCTGTATGATTGATGCCTTCATAGACACTGCTGACATAAAAGCACACAGATGCTTGTGAGTTACCCTGTAACCAAACAAAGTACCTATCCAACTAAATCCTATACCCCATCTAAATGCAAAAATGTTTTCCTATTTAAGCTACTTTATAAAATTGGAAGAGGTGAACATTGCACCAGATGTGCAGATACAACATAAGGACACAAGAAACATGAAATGAAATATGCCACCACTGAAAAGGAACAATGATTCTCTAGAAACAGATCTCAACTTAAAGGAAATCTATGGCATGCCCGAGAAAGAAATTTATTTATTTATTTATTTTTTTGAGAATATATGTATTTATTTTTAGGTTTAGAATTTAATGATCAAAGTTTTTTTTTTAATTTTTATTGTTGGTTGTTCAAAACATTACATAGTTCTTGACATATCATATTTCACACTTTGATTCAAGTGGGTTATGAACTCCCATTTTTACCCTGTATACAGATTGCAGAATCACATCGGTTACACATCCACTAATTTACATATTGCCATACTAGTGTCTGTTGTATTCTGCTGCCTCTCCTATCCTCTACTATCCCCCCTCCCCTCCCCTCCCTCCCATCTTCTCTCTCTACCCCATCTACTGTAATTCATTTCTCCCCCTTGTTTTTTTTTTCCCTTTCCCCTCACTTCCTCTTGTATGTAATTTTGTATAACCATGAGGGCTGAGAAAGAAATTTAAAATAAGGATCCAAAGGAAACTCAGTGAGATGCAAGAGAATACAGATAAAAAGTACAAAGAATTGGAAAATATTCATGATATGAATGACATAATCACCAAAGAGATAAAAATAATAAAAAGAACCAATCAGAAATTCTGGAGCTAAAAATTTTAAGAATGAGATGAAAAACAGTATAGAGAGTTTCCACAACAGAATAGAATAAGCCCAAGAAAGAATTTCTGAATCTGAGGAGGTCTTTTGAATTAACTCAGTGAGACAACAACAACAACAAAATAAAATTAAAGAAAGCCTATGAGATTTATCGGACATCACTGGGTAAACAAATATTGGTATTGTAGTAATTCCAGAAGGTGAGGAAAGGCAAAAGGTGCTGAAAAAACAATTTTTGTGAAGAAAACCCCAAAATTTTCCAAATCTTTAGTGATATGGATATACAGATGTAAGAAGCTCAAACAACCCCAACTAGACTCACCAAAATAGACCTATACCACAGTATTATAGTCATAATGTCAAAAGTACATAATGTCACAAATAGCTATTCTCTTGCTATTTTTAAGATTAAGTCACATACAAGGATACAAGGGAATGCCCATTTGACTTACAGATTTCCCAGCAAAACCTTAAAGGTCAGAGAGAATGAGATGATATATTCAAAACACTGAAAGAAAATAAACCCTGTCAATCAATAAACTGGACCCATTAAATTATCCTTCAAACAAAAGAAGAAAAAAGTCTTTTCCTGATAAGCAGAAACTGAGGGAATTCACCACAAGATCAATCCTACGTTAAAAACAAAAGAGTACTACCATCATGAAATCACATAGAAATATAAAAAGTCACTAGAGGAGTAGATACATGAAAGAAAAAAGAATTTTGCATGACACAAAACTACTAAGTCACAAAAACAATGAGAAGTAGAAAAGAACAAAAAATATACAAAGCAGGTAGAAAACAACAAAATGACAGGAAGAAGTTATCTCTAATAACCTGGAAAGTAAGTAGACTGAATTTACCAAAAGACAGACTACTTGAATGGATTGATGAAGAAGCCGCCGCTACCCAACTATGTGCTTCTTAAAACTCACTTCACTGGTAAAGACAAACTAAAAGTGAAAATTTGGAAACCAAAAGTGAGCAGGAGTGGGTATATTCATATCAGATAAAGCAAACATCAAATCAAAATAAAGTATAAAAAAGGCCAGAAGATCATTATATATTGTTATAAATTTCTACTCAGCAATAAGCTATATCAATTATAAACATATATGCATTCAATAGGGGACCATCCAAATACACAAATATTACTAGATCTAAAGGGAGAAAATATAATACAATAATAGTTGGAACTTCAATGCCCCACTTCTTCAACGAACAGATCATTCAGACAAAATCAAACAAAGAAACATCTGAGTTAAACCATACTATAGAGCAAAGATCTAATAGAAATATACAGAAGTTATGGAGGCACACAAAAATGGAAAGGTGTTGGTGTTTATGAATTGGATGAATCAATATTGCTAAAATGATCATACAACCCAAAGTAATTTATAGATTGAATGCCATTCCCATGAAAATGCCAATTACTTTCTTCACAGAGATAGAAAAAACAATCCTAAAATTCATTGGGAACCACAAAACACCCATAATGGCTGATATAAGGCCTAAGGAGGGGAAAAATGTTAGAGACGTCACAATAGCTGACTTCAAAACACACTAAAAGCTACAGTAACTAAAAGAGCATGGTACTAGCATGAAAACAAGACACTGATTAATGGAACAGAACACAACTTAATCTACCTCCATACAGTTAACTGATTTTTGACAAAGGCACCAAGAACATAGAGAAAAGAGTCTCCTATAAATGTTGTTGGCCAAATTGGTTATGCATATGCAGACAAATGCAACCAAATCCTTTCATCTCATTGTATATTAAAGGCAACTCAAACTGGATCAAAGGCTTAAATGTTAAAACTATGAAATCACTGCAAGAAAATACTTCAAGAATTGGTGTTGACGATGATTTTTTAGATAGAACCTCAAAGGCATAGGTAATAAAAGTAAAACTAGACAAATGGGATTATATCAAACTTCTACACAGCAAAGGAAATAACAGAAAGAATGGGAGAAAATCTATTCAAATATACAAATGCTATTTTTGCAAATTATTCATTTGACAAAGCATTGATATCCACAATATATAAGAAACTAAAAAAGTTGAATACTATAAAAATCCAATTAAAAAATGGGAAGAACTAAGCAGACACTTCTAAAAAGAAGCTAACTAGTATATAAAGAACGATTCAATATCCCTAATCATCAGAGAAATGCAAATCATAATCACAATGACATATAATTTCACCCCAGTTAAAACGGCTATCATCAAAATGACAAAACATAAGAAAGTGCTGGCAAGGATGTAGAGAAAAGGGAAACTCTTATATACAGTTGGTGGGAAGGTATAGTGTAGCCATTATGAAAAAGTATGGCAATTTCCTTAAAAATCTAAAAACAGTACTACCACATGATTAAAAAATTCCACTATTTAGTACATGCCCAAAGGAGTTTAAAATTATTATACCAAAAGATACTTATATCCACATGTTTATTGCAACTGTTTTCACAACCACTAAAATGTGGGCACAATCAAGATGCTCTAGGGTAGGTGAAAGGAAAATGTGGTCTACATATGTAATGGAATATTATCCAGTCATAAAACAGAATGAAATCCTATCTTTTGCAGCAATGTGGCTGGAACTGAAAATCATTTTAAGTGAAGTAAACCAGACACAGAAAGACAAATACATGTTATCACAGTACAATGAAGAATGAAGTGGACTAGAGGTCACTAGAGACCAGAAGAGGAGAGGGAGTGGGGGAAAGTTCACTCAGGAGAACCAAACATTGAGTCAAGGAATTAGTTCTGGTTCTTCTTTGGCACAGTAGGATAACTGCAGGTTAAAACAATCTATGAAAAAGTTGGGCATGGTGGCACATGCCTGTAATCCCAGCAGCTCAGGTGCTTAGCAGCTCAGTGGCTGAGTGCCCTGAGTTCAATCCCTGGTTTAAAAAAAAAAAAAATCTATGATATACTTCAGAATGACTAGAAGAGCACACATTTCCCAACATATCAAAATGATTAATATTTAAAGGGATGGAAATGCCTGTTACCCTGATTTGATTATTACACACTGTATACATGCAGTGACTTACCATGATGAACCCTATAATTATGTACAAATTAGGTCTCAATAAAAACAAAAAAATGATGAACTCTACATACTGATATATGAAAAAGATATAAATTTGATCTTCCTAAGCTACTATAGTTAATGGGGTCTAGAAAGAAAGTAGAGTTCAGGCTGGGGATGCAGACAGAGGACTCTAGGGATAAACTGGTTAAAAATCAAGTCTCAGGTCGTGGTCTAGATCAATATATGTTGTTACATCTCACAAGTTTTCCATAATTACCTAGAAACGTGCTGCTGTCAAACTGGATTTTCTATGACATTTTAAATTGAGTTTGTTTAAATATGTCATTTCAGTTCCATGCTTTGTCTGATAGTGGAGTATCTGATCTTGAAGACCCAATTTTGGCTCCTCTGAAAGATACAGAGAAGTTTGGGATTGTGAAACGCTTATTTGCCTCAACCAATATTAACCTGGAGAGACTACAGTCATCTGTGAAAGCTGTTGTCCTGAAGGATTCTCATGTTTTCCCACTAATTCTCTGTATTACCCTGAATGGACTCTATACTTTAGGCAAAGAACATGAGTAATGCCATTTGTCAATCAGAAGCACACAATATTGGCAAAGCTGAGTATGTTTCAGAATTGTTAAGATAATAATTTGGGATTTAGGTCTAATGCATGTTAAAAGTTGATCAATGAAATGAATTAAAAAACACATTAAGTATTGACTTTCTGCATTCTGAATGACACAAGGGACTCTTGAAACAGTTTCATTCCATTAGAATCTCTCCTATGCTGGTAAATGGTGGATACCCACATCCAAGATAGATTCTAGGACCTGAGAAGAGTTGAGATTCCAACCTAGTGTACATTCAAACCTTTATTTTTTCCCCCAGAATAATGGTTCCATCTATCACTTTCTTACATTTTCCACTTTCTGTTACATGTGAACACAGAATAGTCTTGACATTTTAATCCAAAAATTCATTTTAAATTTTGACTGCTGAGGGAAGACAATTTCTTGTCACAAAATTGGCTATGTATTGGATGCACTGTACATATTTGATGATTAAAAAATAAACTGTAAATGTTCCTGGAGTATTCTTCTGCAAAACAAAATTTTACTAATGAAACAAAACAAATTCAACACTAATATTAAAAAAAACCCTGCCTATGGGTTCTAGCCTTGCCTTGTTTTGATGAATATGCTAATTCTACATCTAGAACAAAGTTCCTATGCATGTAGTAATTTAATTTGTCATTGCTATACTTTCTATCCAAGGAAAACTTGAACTTTTAAAATTTTTTTTTGCTTTTTATTCTGTTTTGACTTCTTTCTATCATAAATAGCTTAGACTGCATCCCCAAGAGGTTCCATCAACAGGATCTGCTGTAATATATCTGGAACCTGGAGCCACTAAAGATGAGGAAGAACAGTGGTTAGGGAAGCATATTGCTCAGCACATTTCTTTTTTTAACCTCAACTTTGTACACTAATTTGTCTGGAGACATCTGAAATACATTAGTCCCCTTCTTCCCCTTAGAGTTTAATGAACATCAACAAAGAAAATATAAAGCAAACACCTTTTCATCACTCATTAAAAGATGACACTATGCCTTATGCAAATGCTTATTCTATGTAGGGGGGAAAGAAGTAAAGTACATTGTGGTGGCAACTATACAAAAATAATTACCTTATATACAAGTTGGAAAGGAATATGCAAAATGAGAGCAATATTAAATTGGTGACACTAAATGTGTCTTTGTTTGCCATGTTTTCTGAAGATAAAGAACAGCAAATAATGTATAATATGAGTTTGTGTAAAAAAGAAACATTCACATATTGATATGCATTTAAAGAGTTTACAAGAAACCAAGCATTGGCTCCCTTGGTTTCAGGGACTTAGAAGTTGGGACAAGAGGCAAAGGGAGATTTTTTCCTATTCCTGTTAGGATTTTGTATGTATTATCCTCTTAATTCAAACAACAACAAAACAAAACAAAGTTTGTTTAAGATGGAAGAATGAATAATACAAAAACCTAATTTCTCTGGAGACATCTGAAATACATTAGACTAGCAACTTCTCACATGTGAGGATGGAATGCTGGAAAACAACTTGGGAGAGTTGCAAAGGGCACTTTCTGACAAAGGTTTCCTGTGTGAACCCTTGGCTGTGCCTCCATCTCTTGCCAGCCTTGGGGGGTTCACATCCTCTCTTGTTGCAGACAGTGGGCTATGCTATGTGGGGCAGCAGGTCAGCTTATTGTCTTACACCCCAGAGTTTCTCTCTTTCCTGGAGAGCTGGGAAATGGCCTTTACACTTGTGCCACCTAAGCTGAGGACTTGTTTTCATGATTCTATATTTTAATCTTCCCCAATTCTTCAATTCTTTCCTTCAGTGTGTGGGCTTTAAAAGCCAGACATTTGCTGAGGTTAGAATAGAGGAAACAAGGATTAGGGTTTCCTTGTTAAAAAACAGAGGAAGGAAAAAATTTATTTAGATAAAAAAAATAATAACGTTAGGAACTTTTTTTTTTTACAGACTACTAGTACTTAAAAAAAAATTTCCAAAGCTAATCTGATGTCCTGTTATTTTGTCTCCAAATCACTTCTATCTATACATGAAACACTACATTTCTACAATAGTAAATATTTATTTCTTTATATGTACAAAAATATTTTACTAGGAGTATGTAATCTCACAAATTGAACATTTCAATAATTTTTGTTCTTGATAGCATATGGAAATATGTGAAAAGAATTAATGGGAAAGTTACTGAAAAATCAATACTTAATTGTACTCCAGGAAAATTTTATTTATACAAGAACAGCAGTAATGTTTTTTTTATACAGGAACTAGTTAGAATACAATTACTTAGAAAGCAATAGCATTTAATTTTTATTTTTAAACCTTTTCATCAGAAACTTAAGCAGCTTGTTCAGCTTTGATTTTTAGATAGCTAACAAGCATTTTGCCCTCCATTAAAAAAAATATTCTCTTCAATAATCACTTCAAAGACTAGAGGTTAAAAATAGCATGCATTTGTGTTCAAAGGAAAGATATATCAGAAATGAACTGGAAAAAAAAAGGATTAAAAAATTCCTGAAGCAAGGTTTCACATCAAATATCCCTCATGGGCCCTAAAAGAGCTCAACATATAACATCCAGAAAATCGCACTTGTTCCTGAACCCTACTGTTTATTCTTCCACAACAGAATCTAAGATACCACTTAAAAAAATGTTATTGAAAATACAAGAACCAGTCAGCAATTTTTTTTTCTTAAAAGAGGATACATAGCCCAAAGAACTATTCACCTTATATTTTAAGTACAGATGTAGAGGAGCTATGCATCAAATCTCTTTCTTTCTGAACAGACTAAGTTATTTCTCTCTAGGATCACATTTATCAGAACAAGCTTTCTGTCTTAAAAGCAATGTTACTTATACAATTATCCACTTTTATTTCAGAAAATAAGAAACATACACTTTAACTGGTAATGACTTTTGGTTTGATGTCGGTAATTTACACTGATGAAGATTTTTTGTTTTGGGTTCTGGGGAACGAACCTATGGCCTTGTACATTACCTCTGAGCTACAATCCCCAGTCCTTAACTGATGAATTTTTACTGCTGTGATTTTTTTCCATTTTCAGTAAGTTCATTAGTTTTCCTCTAAGTTCTTAGGCCATTTTGACTGATAGGAGGAAAGCCAATTTTTTAATGTATGGCCTGTCATATTTTAGGTGTTGCTATCCCTGGCTTACACTGTTGGATGAAGTACAATAAAGACTTTTACTTTAAAGGGCTGGGGGCTTAGCTTACTCTGGTAGAGGGCATGCTTAGCATGCTCTATAAGGACCTGGGCTCAATCCCCAGCACCAAAAAATAAGACTTTGGCTTCTGTTTTATAGTAGCAACACTACTTACTTCATGGGACTCAAAGAAGGTTGATTTATTACTAGTAAATCATTTAATTTCCAAAATACAAGTAGCATTTATCTTTAACTATAGACGTGTTCTCAGTTGTGCTAGAAAATAGAAAACAACAAAGGCTAGTATGAAAAAGGAGAAAAAGAAGAACTGCTGCTTTTGACCTTCTGTGTGTGAAGATAAATCAGATTTATCATAACACTGCATTATCGACTAGTGGCCAAGAAGCAGTTCTAAGGAGAAATAACTATTATCTGAAATTTGAAGTTCATTAATGAGACCTAACAGTCAATGTTTCTTCCTATAAAGAAATAGATGTCTGTTAAACTTAACACTATGGGTTAAGTAATAGGGCTGCAGTGATAAATTTTAGGCATAACAATAAAGTAGGGCAGCTTTAAGGGGCAAAGATCAGTCTGTTCTGATGTAAGAGTACTGGACTGCTTACTTATATTTTGTGAGTAGTCTGGTTGGCATAAGATTTGCTAAAAGTTTGGACTTGGAATGGGATTCTAAACTAAAAAGGACCTCCTCACTAGGATAGCTGAGAAAGCAGAGCAGACCCTCTTCCAGGCTGGAACTGCATCCTTGGGGCTGTTTTAAACCTAGAGGTAGGATTCCTGAATGGTGTTTACCATCCACTGCATGACCTCAGAAAGAGGTACAGTTTAAAGGAACTGAAAGAAAAGTAACCTCAAAATAAGTGAATACATTTAATAAAGTAACCTAATAAATACTTACCACATCTCAGTTATAAATAATGACTCCGAATCATTTAAGGCGAAGACAAGTATTAACTTAAGCCTACTTAACAAGTAGAATAACAAATGTAAAGGTAGATGTAAAGTTTATCAAAAATCACATGGTAGAAGAATTAGGATCATAGCTAGAAGGACACTATTTTCACTTTTATCATGAGAGATTATTTTGCCAAAGTGGCATAAGTCATGCTTCTTACCTTAAAAATGCGATACCATCATTTTCTTGCTTTCTAATGCACTGAGGACTCACATTTGATTGTGAATTTTTCAAAACTCATTCCAGAAACACACATGGTAACATGATGGAATATAAGAAATCTTTTTTAAAAAAAGAATATAACTTGAAAAAAAACTAGAATAAATATGCAGTTAAAAAATAACCTTACAAAACTATAGAACATCATCTTCCTCAGGTATATAACATACACTTACATAAAAACTGATAAGATGCTGAATAATTAAATGTACTCTTAAAAGTTTGTAAATATTTGCTTGCACTATATACAATATCCCATTATTTAAAATATTGAATTTCTCCTAAGAACTTCAAATATATTACATGTTATTACATGAATTCTCACAGCAAATCCCTTCAAACAAGGAGTGGCATGTCTCACAACTTTGAAGCCTGAATCTTATCAACAAATTAAATTGAAGGGTTAAATATTTCCCAAGATGCTTCCATCCAGAACTCTTTTTTTTCCTTAAGGAAATTAAATTATAATCATGAACAATAATTTTCTGAACTTCTCATATATTTTTCAGAAAGGAGATTAATGTCAATTTAAAGGTAGAATCAAGCCTTTCAAAACAATCTAAAACAGTTTTAATTACCTAGGAATTTGAGATTAAAAATTTTAGAACACTGGCTATCATAAATTGGTGAGTATATTTGGTTTTATTAATTGTATGTTTTGAGAGGATATCACATATTAAACACAGAGGTGTATACACACACGTCAACTCAAACATTAAAAAAAGATCTATGTACATAAAACTTCAGGGTTGCCTTTTCCATATTTAGTATAAAGATTATGTAAAATTATTGTTCTATCTAGCCTGTGATTTCTGAATAATGGAGTATTGTTTCAGAAGTCACAAAAAATTTAAGTAGATTATTATTTTGACCAATTTTCAAAGCTTTTTCATTTTGAATTTTTTAATCCAAAATTATACCTAACTCTGGCTATCCATCTTAAAAATCAACTCCAATCACAGGATCATGACATGTGTTATATCTAAGTGCTTTATTGTCATTAGGATATTATGGCCAAAACAATATCTGGTCATAATCTGTAATGTCATGCTATTGGCTTTTATTGCTAATTTGGGTTATATTTTTTTTGTACTGAGTATAACTATGGATTATTTTCTAAATTTGTTTTAATAACCAATTTGCTGTTTTAAAGGTAACTCCTTATAGGCTATTATACTAGATTCTAGAATCTGGGTTTAGGCTACTATTGCTATAGTAATACTGGTTTTCTGAAACAATTTCTATTTTAGAACTATGGTCAGCAATTGTACAAAGTTGGCCACAAAAAAAAACCCCTGATGTATTTGACATTTGATATTATATAAATATCAAATAAAAATGGAGATTGCCTAATAAAATCATACCTGTAATGAAAGTGAAAATTCTACTTGTAGGGTATAAAGCATACTCCAGTAGCTCTAGTTAAATGACTTATTCAGGGACTTTACTTCTATGGGCATTTAAACATTTGAAAATATATAACCTTTAATGTCTATAAATAGTCATGCCTTGAATGCTGAACGTGGACACTCACAGTCCATAAGCAACCCTCATTTGCATTCATGTATCAACACACCATGTATCTCCAAAGCACCTGTGTGTGTGTGTGTGTGTGTGTACTGTATCTATTATAATTGTTCAATATCACTGTAAACCATTTTCTTTTCAGTAAAGCTTTCAGAAAAAAAGTCTTATTATCTTGTACACATTTCTTTGATCATATTATCTAGGAAGAATCCAGGGTAGAATCTCTGGGCCTCTTTGCCTCAGCACAGCACTGCTAGTTTGTTTGGGTTTAAAGTTTGGTGACTCTTCACTGAGATACAATGAACTTTTCTGAATTTATTTTTCTTCAGCATTTGCATCTATGCTGAAATGAACTAAATTGCATCATTTCATTCCATATTAGGAGGAACGTAATCTGCATTAATTATGTAATCAATTATAAATACATTTATTATAGAAATAATTTCTTTAAGTATAGACTATATTCCAGATAATATGCATTTTTATATCACACAAGGCTAAAAATATATATGTGAAAGTCATCTCTGTTGTACCAAGAAGGTAGAAATATTTTGTGGACAAACTCCTGTGCTGCAAGAGTTATCCCACAGCTGTTTAGATAGGCCTCATGGAGCAGCACGAAGGTACACTGGATAATACTGTGCATTTCCTGAGAGTGCAGAACTGAAATTTCTCTTAAACTTTACAGTGTGTTAAAACATTAAGTCACAGGACACCAACTTGATACTGAGCGTTTGATTCATGTAGCTTAAAAGAAAAACAAATTTATGAACCGGCTATGTGATTCTGGAATTAGAACTTTAAAAAATCTATAGCTTTCCAATTTTAATAATACAGCAATTTGTGTATATCATTTCATTGTGAAAATGATTTAAAACACAGTGTGAATACTGTTTATTGCCATATATTTTCTCTTCCCAGCTGGCACTCCATGTGACAGCTTGGATGAGGGGAGAAACACATTCAGCAGCCAGGTGTCTGAGGCCACTAGACAAAGATGATCATCAATAGTTAAGCACCAAACCCTTAAAAGTGTGAATATTGTATATATGAAAAGTTAACTGTAACATAGTGATGGCTGCATATCTGAATATGTTTTAGGAAGAATTTATACCATCCAAGAATCCTGAAGAAGATATTAACAGAGGTGAATGTGGAAATTTGTGTATTATATCAATGCATTTAAAGAGGACATTTTTCCTAATCATTAAACAAAAAAGTCTGTTTCCTAAGAGAAATATAAAAAAAATATAAAAATTACTTAACATACATAGTACATAGTATATGTAATATTATACATATGTATTGTGTGTGTATATACGTGTATGCGTACATGACAGCTGACAGTTACTCTCAAATTTTGTAAATTATTCAGTGGATTCAATCTTTTATTTTTTGGTACTGGAGATTGAACTCAGGGATACTTAACCATTAAGCCACATCACCAGTCCTTTTTTTTCAGTATTTTATTTAGAGACAAGGTCTCACTGAGTTGCCTAGTGCCTCGCTGTTGCTGAGGCTGGCTTTGATCTTTCGATTCTCCTGCTTCAGCCTCCAGAGCTGCTGGGATTACAGGTGTGTCCCACTGTGTCTGGCTTGGATTTAATCTTTGACGCAACAAATAGAACAAGTACCCTATTGATCATGTATTTCAAAAAGCACAATGATCATTCACAAAAAAAAAAAAAAAAAACCAACAACAAAAAACTACTAACTGCAAACTTAAATTGTCAAACATTACACAAATTTGCAGAGCCATATTTTGCTGACCATATTCTTTAAGGAAAACTAAAGTAATTGGTTCAAATAAGTTTTACATATAAAATAAATAAACTTTCTTTAAGCATCATTTTGTGTAAGGTTTTACAGGATAAGGCACTCTCTTAGTCTGCATGACCTTGCTTCTAGCCCGAGCTTATGTGTATATGTTAAATTAGTTAGCATCAGCATGTCACGGCAATAAATGAAAAGAAGAACCTCATAGGAGAGTGCAAGGTATTGCTCTTCATTTTTTCACTAATGACAAATGAAAAGACTATTCTATTTGTACAAATTAGAATGGATAGCCATACATCTCTGAAATAATGAAAAATATGTGGCCTTGAACAGACTTTTCATGTTCAAGTCTTTAAATGGTAGAAGACTAACTGACACTGACATTAAGATTTTGTTTCTGTAAGAAATTTGATCAAGAAGGTAGGTCAATAACTACTATTTTCTTCTAATTAGAGTAAGTGACCCTTCACTACTTAAATACCGAACTAAACAACAGCTTTACAAAACTATTTCAAGTATTCATTATCACAGTGAAAATGTGAGACCAATGTTAGTGTGAATGACTGGAAAATTTCTTTGATGAAAAAGGCAAGGGTACTAAATCAAAACATATACAAAATGCTTCAACGCATTTCTTTATGATATGAATAGAAAGATTATCCATAGAAAGTTAGAAAAATTAAGATAAATTATATATTAGTACACCTTTTCAACCACATTTTATATAAAAATTCAGAATAGTGTACTGTTATCTCAATCTACACAATAAAAATGCCTAGATTTGGCAGGTATCTTCTATCTGTGCATGTACTTTCTCAGTACAAGATTTATTTGTTGAGTCACTTTTTAAAAGTTTTATTTAATTGTTAACCTTATTGAATCATCAGTAAACCCAGCTGATTGGGACCCACTGTGGTTCCATTCTTAGTTTTTCTGTGGCAGTTTGTAGTTTCTCAAAGGCCTTGTCGAGATTGTCGTTTACAATGATCAAATCAAAATAGTGGTTGTATGCTCTCTGAATCCGTGCACTTTCATCCACAGTTTTCTTCAAGTCAGAGTCCTGTTGAAGAGTTTTAGAAGGAAATGTTTGTATTGTAATGCATATTTACTTGCTCAAACTAAAAGTAAGAAATATGTAGGTTGGACATTTTTTTTAATTCTGATATTAATCCTCAAAATTTAAAAAAGGACATTATCATCTATTCATCTTACTCTTTTCACCTACTTTGGTGTATTTTTGAATATTCTGTACCTTCTGTTTCATTGATATTTGGACAAAATTTCTAACTGAAAGGCTGTTGACAACAATCATTAGCAATAATCATAAGTTAATCTAAAGTAATAAAAGAATTATTGCAGGTTATTGGCTTCTAGTTTCTATATTCTTCTATTTCAGAAGATTTTTATCTTCTGGCCCATGTAAATCATGGGGTCCAACTTGTAGTGGCTATTTATAAAAGCCAATTTACTAACAATCTCAGAATCTTAAGTGTGTTTTGAAGACTACCCACATGCTAGCCATTTACCACCAAAACATACACTCATACACACTTTTAGTTATTTTTTTGTGTTAGTATTATTTATATTTCATGAAATATTTAGTCATTTTGGAATGCTGTAGGGAGTACTTCAGTAATGGGTTCTGCATGAGCAGGCAGAGCTTTTCATAAAATTCCAAGTGTTTTGGGAATTTCATTATATATCTGTATATTCTACAAATATTTACCAAGCTCATATTAAAGTGGCTACTGTTTTGGACCTGATGGATATAAACATGAATACCAGAAAGAGTTCCTAACTTTTAGTGAAACAGACAGGTAAGGAACAAATAAATAAACACAAAAAATTACATGTTGTAATAAGTGCTATAAAAGAAACAAATTGGGCATAAAGAATTTTAACATCTGCTCTAGATAAAGTCATGCTAAAAAAGTAAGGGAAAAAAAGAAGGTTGTCATGTGTATAGCAGTAGAAAGAACAATGCAGGCAGAGGAAAATCCAAAGGTGGGCAATGGGCCTGGTATATTTAAATGACTAAAAGAAGACCAGAGTGGATGGAGAGCTGGGGATTAGGGCTAGGGCCTGGAGGGTTTCAATACAATGAAGGGAAATGTGATCTGACATGAGTGGATGCAGCAAGGTTGGTGGCAGAGAGGGTGGAAAAGACACCAGCCTGGACATTTATTCTAATGATAAAATCATCAGGATTAGCTGATGGGCTACATGTGGAAAGAGAAGAAAATGAATACATTAAGGCTAGTGCTTACATTTGCAGTTTGAGTAAATGGGTGGCTATAGAAGATGTAGAGTAAGGGTTATGCAGGACGAGGACAGCATGATTTTTTGGGGGGGGGGGTGGAGGGCAAAAAGTTCTACTTTGTATGTAGCAGACACCCATGTGGTTGTGAGACATCCAAAAGGAGACGTAAAGTAGGTGACAAGGCAAGTATCCTAGGTCTAGGCTAGCTAGTACATCATCAGCATAACAATGGAGGCATATAAGTGGTTTTGGTGAAAACACCTAAGAAAAAGCTTACAGAGAAGTGGGTTCACCACTATGACCAAGGAACCTGAATACCCATGAACACTTCCCTGGAGACTTTTAAATAAGTTTGAAACAACTAAAATACCTTTGATGGTAAATTTTATAACAAGATCATAATTCAACATGAAAACAAGTTTTACCTATTATTATCATTAGCAATCTGGTTTGTTAAAAAAAAGTCCTGTAACAAAAAGTGAAATATAGACAGAAAGGGGAATAAAGAATCTCTTTATAGAATAAGCTCCAGAATATGCTATTTCTATTATACAGACTAAGAGACTAAGATACCTTTTATATAAGAAATGGGGGAAGGAAGGTAACCATATATACTTAAAAAAAAATGGTTACCAAAAATGACCACCTTTGTAGGTGGGAGGAAAGAGAGTGGACAGGACAGAGAAAAGGTAGATTTGTTTTTAAAATTTACATTGAAACTACGAAAATGTTATACAGAATTATACAACAAATTTAAATGCAAATAGAAAAAAAGGGTAATACCTTGATATCAAAATCAAAATGAAACAAACCTGTGTTTCAATTCAGTGGCCTAATCATATAGAAAGAAACTATTTTAATGACTTCAAAACAAAATAACTCAATACCTTGTGGGATAGCTATATCCTCAAATATTAAATAAAAGTCTTGACACTTAAAACTTCAAAACCATACTGTTATTAAGAGTTACTCAGAAATTATATGTGTATACTTTGTTTATATATATGCAAAATAAGAAATATGTTAATGTCATCAGGAACCAAGACTTTTAGCATAAGAAGCAAAAAGGCAAATAAAACATAAAATTTGAATTGGAACTATCAAGTTGAGCTAATTGTGTATGTTTTTTAAAGCAAAAAATTGTATCCTCTCTCTGACACTGAAAGGCCTAGAAACTATGTCCAACAGAGTTGAATGTACACCCTGAAAGCCTAGATTATCTCTAATCAGGGCATCTGGATGGCTGGTTCCCTGTCAGGAAATACATAAGAATAACCTGGAACAGCCTGTCATACTAGGAAGCAAAGAATCAAAAACTACTAGGGTTGTATTAAAAAGACTCGGAAGTCAAACTGAATAGGCTCTTACTAGCTGAAGAAAGCATAATTTAAGCATCAAAAAGAATAATAACTGACCTAAGTACATAGGAAGTATTGTAGGTCACATTAAACAGAGTGATTTGGCTGGGCACAGTGGTGCATGCCTGTAGCCCCACAGCTCAGGGAGCTGAGACAGGAGGATCTAGAGTTCAAAGCCAGCCTCAGCAATAGCAAGGCGCTAAGCCAACTCAGTGAAACTCTGTCGCTAAATAAAATACAAAATAGGGCTGGGGGTGTGGCTCAGTAGTTGAGTGTCCCTGAGTTGAATCTCAGGTACCCACCCCGCCAAAAAACAAAAATGAAAACAAAAAAAAAAACCAGAGTGATTTGGTGGTATGTGTTCTAAAGATACAAAGAACTGGGCATATGTGTTTGGGGCGGGGGGCTGTTCACAGAAATCACACCAGAAGTGGTACTGTTGATAAGATTTTTTTTTCTCAGACTGTTGTATTTGTACTGTCAGATAAAACAAATGAACAATTATGTGATAGTCTGACTTTCCCAATGTTTCTGAAAACTATGATATATATTCAGCAATAAGGAAAGGAATTAGTTTTAAGATAAAAGGATTTTGGGAAAAATCAGTATGAATTCATGACACAGTGTCCTTTAAATGTACAAACAGAAAAGCATGTATCCTAGCTTAAAAAAATTTTTTTTTGGTAGTTGTAGATGAATACAACACTTTTATTTTATTTGTTTATTTTTATGTGGTGCTGAGGATCAAGCCCAGTGCCTCACAGGCTAAGCAAGTGCTCTGCCGAGTAGCTACAGCCCCAGCCCTATCCTAGCTTTTTTTAATATAAAAAGGTCTAGCTAAAAACAATGATTAACCTTGAGACAATATGCATTGCATCCTTGTATTACAGTCTTAAAATACCATTTACTCTAAAAGAAACCAAAACATTTTTGAAAAATGTTTGATTTCTGGCCTAGAATTGAAAATGAAAATGATGAGCCTAGAATAGCTATCATATCAGACAGCAAGGAAGTTATCCAAGACCACTGGGCTCATAAAAAAACTATTCAGCACCAACTAAAATAGGCTCACACTGGTCAACGATGGGACAATTTGAACATCTATAGGAATAATAGCTGCCACAGGGAACAAACCCATTCATTATTCTGCAAGCTGACCCATAAAGGTAGAGTCAGGCATGTATCCTGCCTTTCCTCCATAAACTAGAGCATTATAGTAATACCTTGTAGTTGGGTTTATTTTGACAAAAATCATACATGCATGAAATTTAATTTCAATCCCTTTCCCCTGCTTTTTCCCTTCCCTCCTCCTCCTGTTCTCCTTCTATTGATCTTACTTTTGTTCTTTCTACATATACATAAAAGCAAAATTCCCTGTTGTGCATTTATATATGCATACAATGATTTTGTTAAATTCATTCCATATTTCTCCCTATTTCCTGTCCTTCCCTCTCAATCTCCTTATATTAACTCCAGTGATCTTCCCTATATCATTATGGTATCTGATCCCTATCAGCTGGCTACAAAAGTGTCTGGGTTTGTCTATGTGATTTCTTTTCTATTCTATTCCATTGGTCTTCATGTCTATTTTGAAGCCAATACCATGTTGTTTTTGTTACTATAGCTCTGTAGTATAATTTGAGTTCATGTATTGTGGCGCCTGCTCCATCTATCCTCTTTCTCAGGATTGTGTTGGCTATTTTGGGTCTCTTATTCTTCCAAATGAATATAAGAACTGTTTTTCTCTAGTTTTGTGAAGAATGTTATTGGTATTTTGATAGGAAAGTATTGAATCTGTATATTGTTTTTGATAGTGTGGTCATTTTGACAATATTAATTCTGCCTATTCAAGAATATGGGAGGTCTTTCCATCTTCCAAGGTCTTCTTTAATTTTTTCAGTGTTCTGTAGTTTTCATTGCAGAGAACATTCACCTTCTTGGTGAGATTAATTCCCAAGTATTTTTCTTTTTTTAGGTTATTGTAAGTGGCATAGTTTTCCTGATTTCTTTCTTAGTAGATTCATTATTGGAATACAGGAAAGCAATTTGATCTTGTATCCTGCTACTTTAAAAAATTTGTTTATCAGTTCTAGAAGTTTTTAGTGGAGTTTTTTGGGTCTTCCAAAAATAGGATCATGTCTTCAGCAAAGAGAGATAGATAGTCTGATGACTTCTTTTCCTTAATTTCCTTCTCTTGCCTGATTGCTCTGGCTAGAGTTTCAAGAACTATACTGAATAGAAGTGGTGATCTTGTGGACATCTTGTCTTGTTCCTGATTTTAGAAAAAATTCTTTAAGTTTTTCTCCATTCAGTGTGATGTTGACTTTGGATCTGTCATATCTAGCCTTTATAATGTTGAGGTTAAATTCTTATGTCCCTATAGTTTCTCCAGTGTTTTTAACACAAATAGGTGGTGGGTTTTAGTAAAGGCCATTTCTACAT